CCAGTCTGCCATCAGCAATACTAACCCACGAGCACTTGATGAGGAGCGATCGTAGATAGAGAAGAGGCGTGCCAAGGTATTAAGTAAGGGCTTAGATTTAGACGATAAGCTATATAAAGATGTGGGCTAAAGAAGACATATGGGCTAGGGAGACCAAGACTGAGCATAGGAAGTGTAAAGCTAGACTAGCGTTCGTAGCCCTTTCGGCTTGGCCGCCGGGCGTAAATAAATTGTGTGTGTATTCAGTAGCTTCAGCAATGTCGTCCTAGCCTTGTGCGCTCATACGCATAAATAGGTCAAACGGAACGCCATCTGTTGGAGTTTGGTAGGGCACTATTTTCAACACCATCCTCCCTTCCTACATCCTTGGTCACAATAAGTATATTGAAACACCTATCGATATTATTGCCTTCACGGTAATCCCTTTCTTCCAGCACCTTGCCTTCATACACATCGTTCGTATGCTGGTACCCAGATTCACTCTATGTGATTACAGCTGTCGACCTTCTCAATGTGTGTAGCATATCTTGCATACCCCTTCGGGCCTATAGCGTCATTGCAAGCATGCAAAAACGTCCCGTTTCGGCACTCATGAGCATAGGTTCAAGATTTGGTCGGTAATGCGATTGACTATGTACCTGCTTGTTGTACGCCGGCCTAGCACCTCCTACCAAAAAGTTTGATATGAAGTCAAGAGAACATTCTGTTGTGCTTCCCTACCGAGCTGCTCAACCAGATCTTTTGCCGCTATCTGTCCGTTTTCTTCGGCGAACTCACACGCTCTACGGACTTGTTTCCCGCCATCTGACACAATATCCACGCCGTGATGGAAGAGCCAAAGTAGTATGTCTATCCTTCCATGTCCTGCTGCAATTTCGAATGCGGTAGCACCCATGTATCTGCTACCTGGGTGGTTGATTTCGGCACCGCGTTTGTGAAGAATTTCTGCAATGTGGACGGAGCCAGTCTTGGCGGCAAATTGGAGGGCGGTCGCCCCTTCCCAGATGCAGGGTGGTGCATTGACATCGACACCTCGATCCAGAAGGTATTGAACAATTTCTAAGTGACCTAGCTCAATGGCCAGTTGTAGCGATGTGCGCTTCATGCCAACCGTTGCGCTGAACCCTAAGTCCGCCCCAGCGTTGTGTAGGAGTTCCACCATAGCGAGATTCCCAGTCGATATCGCCTTCAATACAGCATTCAGTTGGTCCCGGCCTGAAAAGCTGTCACCAACTTCGACTGTACTATTGGGATTACCGCCAGATTCTAGTAGGATTTCCACAATCTCGATAATACCTGTAGCGATTCCCTCTCCAAACAGCGAAGGATGGCTACGAACAATATCATACTCACTCTGGGGTATTATGTATGTTATTCTGTTGACATCAGCATGAGTTGCGAGCATTCTGACCATTTTTTGGTCCCTTCTCCCGATCGCTTCTCGCAGGGCTGGAATGGCGAAGCTTCCATTATGGTTAGGGTAACGATGGTTAAACAACTCAAGAATAGCTTCAGTCAGTTTATGAGATTTTTGTGTAGCAGCTAAGAGGGCAGAAGGATCATTTACATCCGCACCATGAGCGAGCAGTTTGTAAACGAATGCCTCGTGGCCACGTTTGATGGATTCTGCCAGAGATGAGGCATTCGTCTGATGACGAAGCACGTTACAATCTACCCCATTGTCGAGTAGTAGCTGAAATGTCGCGTGATCACCTTTCTCGATAGCTTCCGTAAAAGGTGAAAATTGTTTCACCCTCCTTTGTCCGGACAATCGACTCTGCGTTGAATTCAATCTCAATGAACGTATATTCAGAGATTGGAGAAATATCTTGTTTATATCGAAGTTTGTTGCACAAAAATTCAATAATCTGAGAACATGCGGATTACCCCAACGCACGGCAAATATTCCAAGACCAGAACTGGCATTGATACAGGTGGCTGTATCAAGGAACAACTCAACAAGCTGTATATTGCGCATCAAAACTGCAGCCGCAATACTTGAAGAATCTGGCGGAATGCCAACCGCCATTAGAAGTTCAACAATATCTTTACGGCCTCCCAAAACCGCAGGAGTTATCATATCGAGATCGCCAAACAACCTGAATGCCCGAGTGCTTCCAGACATTCCAAGCAAGGACGGTTTAAGGGTAGCTACGAGGCTTCCTTTGTTGATGGCGATTAATTCTTGGACCATATCTTTATTTTCCGTTTCAACAGCAGCAAATAGAGCTAGTTTGAGATGTTCCTTGTTTGTAATTGTGTTGAGAGCGCCCAAACTCTTCAGTAGGTCTATCATGTCTTGGTTACCCCATCTGATGGCTTCGGCAAATGGTGTGGTATTGTACGTCAAAAGCGAACATCCCTCTAGTAGATACGGATCTACATCTGAAGGGAGGTTTTTCACAACACGTTCTTGATCATGTCTACAAGGGGATATGTCGTCAATCCTCACTCCCATCTGCACATACTTCGTGACCAGTAGTGGTTGGTTTCCACGAATAGCCTTGCACAAACATTTGGAGTCTGGAGTAAGTCCTATCTGTTCCAGAAGGAATTCGATTAAACTCAAGTTGCCTTTGTACGAAGCATCTTGGAGGAGAGGATTCATAAAAGAATTGTCGACAGAACCCTTGTTTTGAGGAATTGAATCGTTTTGTAGGATGGACTGGATGACAGGTACGATCTTTTTCTGTTGAACGATTTCGCTGATATGACGGCATAATTTGCTTTTACGATCAATAAAGATGCGTTGGACTTCGAGGTTGAGCGGAATCTTATTATGGTGGATCAAAACATCTACAATCTGCTCGGTTCTCCAGAACATCTCGCTGTCCAAATCCAGTACGGTTATGACAGCATGGTGATCTAGGAGTTGTTGCAGGATGTTGCACACAACTGGTGGGAATGTAAACACATCGTATGGGGACTTCGAGCCAAGTAGACACGCAATGGGCCTACCATCCTCAATTAGATGACTCAAAGTTCGGTTTGGATCAGCGCCTGCACGTAACAGAACTTTCACGACCTCTAGACGACGAAACTTGCATGCTAATCCAAGAGGTGTGAATGTCCTGCCATCAAATCTGCAAGTAACTCGATTGATATCAAGCCCTCTTCTCAAGATAACCTCTACGAGAGTTGGTATATTTGATTTGATAGCGATAGTGAGGATACTTTGCTGAAGTGCTCCTGCGTATGGATGAGGTAGTGCCTCCAGCATACCCTCCATGTGGGCAACAGGAAACTGTCTGACTTGCTCGAAGATAGTGTCTAGCACCGCATAGTCGGAGCCAGCGAAGTTGTTCATGAGCAGATACAGTATCTGCTTCAGTATGACCAGATCCACAGAAGCCTTTTGAAGTTGGTTTGGTTCGCTTGGGAGTAAATGTCTCATCTGATTGATCGAAGCGAAGATCTTGGGTTGATTGTCTTTCAACAAAGCCCGGAATTCGTGGAATAGTGGGATGTCGAGGGTACTGAATAAAGACATGGTGCTCATAGGTATGAAAAATGCATTCCGGAGCCTTGATATTCCAGGGGACGAGTATCCAACAACATCATCGCATTGATTGAATGGACTTGGTTGGGAGTACGATACCAACGATCCGGTCTCCCAGATGTTGGCATTTTGGGATAAATCATCGATTCGAATAGGAGTTGGAAGATTGTCCAGGAGCGTGTTATCGAGAATTTGGTGATCATTTAGCTGGAAAGCACCAAGAACGTGTGCCGAATTCCAGTATGACTCAAGATCATACGACTCTACTGGAGAGCATGTCGTTGATATGTTGTTCAAATGGGTGCCTTGGACTTCCAGGCTGAGGATCTTTTCTTCAATTTCCTCATCGTCCGACCGGACTTCAATGCCGGTCGGCAACACTTGCTTTGTACACCACTCCTCATTTTCACCACAAGTCTTATATCGGGCCGTCTCTTTCTTCACTTTGTCTCTAGGAAGTCTCGTCCCGTAGGCGTATACGTGGCTAACGCGCTCACCCCCATCCCGGTTCTTGATGATGTGTCCAATGGTATGCCATGTTTCGCGAGTCAACTTCTTCTTGAAGTCCCATCGCATAAACTGGGTTTCGTATTGTGGTTTACTCGAGTAATTTAGTTTAACTAAAAGACTTCACATGAGGGTTTTATAATCCTACCTTGCAGAGAAGCCCTTCTTTTTCATAATATCAATAACGCCGCCTTGTCCCATCAAATTTTTATCTTCGAATAGATATAGCCTTTGAATCGTCTCCTTGTGGTATTCCCATTCTGTTCGAGATATTCGAGGATGGTTTGTCTTTGGCATGGCTAGCTTGTAATCTACTAGGCTGCAGAAAAAAATAGGGTTGCAATGTCTTCTCTATAACTAAGGCTGGATCGAATCCTTCTTTTAATACTGATTCTGCGAAGAGGATCTGAAACCAGGAATATGAAATACGGAATATGGAATCCGTAAAACCAGATTCTGGAAAATGAGCTTTAGAAAGGGGAGCGCCCGATTAACAATCCAGAATCTGGAAATCAAGTGATTGGCTGAGCATTCTCGAGTCCTTTGGGGGCTGAAGGCTGAGCTTGACCGGTTTGCTCCGCCTCGTTCTTTGATTCGGCCACTCACTATCATGTGCATCAGCCACAATGTGAAGACATGTAACATCATGCATTTGATCAGCACACAGACCATCCAAAACATTGCAATGCAGACCAGAATCTGGAATTGAGCAGATTGTGGTGACAACCTCGCTCAGCCTCGAATGCCACGTTGGTCTCAAGTCACCGCTATAATCATTCTGCTACACATGCTAGCACAGCATGAGTGAAAGGGATAATAGGGTCGACATTTAATACAATTGAGACTGTTCGCATAGGCGTGCTATAGAACTAATACGCAAGAGGTAACAGGCGACTAGCGATTGATTTTTCGGAACATCGGACTTTCGGAATCTGCCCTTGACTCCCCCATAGCACTAAATACCAGAATCTGCTTTCTCGAAACACAACGTAAGACCAAACAACAGAATCTGGATATACTCTGCCCCAAAAACATTCGTGCGATTCCTTCATCAGTACCATGAAAAATGTAAGAAGACCCAGATTCTGGAGTAGAGTTGTGTATCTAAAGCGTGCTCATCCTCGCCATCATGCATCATCAACAAAGATACTCGCTCACTCCAAGTCGCTCAAACCCACTTCATCCTCTCTTCAAGCAAAATTCATCAGCATGGCCAGCTGGTCCCTTGAAGCACGCATAGCCCTCGTCACTCTGCTCATACAACTCACGATACCCATATTCGTTCTTATTATCAGGATAGCATGGAGAAGATGGATTTCAAAGCACCATAGTACGGTCTCATCTTCCTAGTATTCCTGGTATTGAACTAAGCGTGCGCAGATAGCACGCAAGCTCTACTTCCAACATACCATGAACATCTACCAACAGCATTTCTTCCGCCGCCATACCGTAACAATCTCAGTAGGACGTGGACCTTTTATACATATGTACAAACGCATCAATATCTGTAACAATACAAATAAGGAAGGCTATTAGAGGTTGTAATTATCACCAAAGACATGTATCTCTTATCAAAACTATTCCTTCCCCACAAAACGGTCCTTATCCACCAACACACCCCTTGCCATCTCCAGCTGCTCATCCGTTTGGACAACCAGCGTCTTATACCTCGCACCACTTGCACTTATATCCGTGACCACATCTTCCACCTGAGCCTCATTCTTCTTTTCGTCAATCGCGAAACCCAAACACTTGACGCCCTGCACGACCGCTTGCCTCAATTTCCCGCCCTTCTCGCCGATGCCTCCCGCAAAAACAAGCGCATCGACCTCGCCGTCCAGCTTCGTAAAGTAGGGACCAACGTAGTTGAGAATGCGATCGGCAAAGATGTTGAAAGCGAGCTTGTCCTCGTACCGATCCGAAGAGCTGATTTTGCCGAAATCAGTGGTTCCGGTTAGACTCTTCCATCCGCTTTGCTTGTTCAAGATTTCCTCGGCTTGAGTGATGTGCATCTTCTCGCTGGAGCTGTGCGATGGCTTTCCCGCGCTGTGCGTGTAGTGAAACATCAATGATGGGTCAATAGAGCCCGAACGCGTGGCACCCGGCAGGCCAGCGAGGGGGGTCAGACCCATAGTAGTGTCTAGCGATTTTCCGTTTTTGATGCAACAAGCAGATGCGCCTGAACCGAGATGTAGTGCGATGATGTTGACCTGGTCGACTGGCTTCTTGAGATGCTCGGCTACAGCATTGACGATGAATGAGTAGCTGATGCCATGAAACCCGTACTTTCGAAGCTTATTCTTTTGCGCCACTTCCTGGTCAATGGGGTATGTGCATATGTAATCGGGAAGCGTGTTGTGGAATGAGGAGTCAAAGTACGCAATATTCTTAGCATGCGGCAAAGCCTCCGCTACTGCTCGGACAATGGTGAGTGCGGGAGCGTTGTGAAGTGGTGCCAGATCAGAGAGCTCCTCAATGTGATGATACGTCTCCTTGTCAATGACCTGGCTTCTGGGATAGTCACCACCATGCACAACGCGATGACATGTGAATCGAATATCGTCTGTATGGTTTAGCTCCTTGAGGCCCTTGTCATTCGTCAGGTGCTCGAGGACATATCGGAACCCATCTTCCTGCGATTTGACGATCTCCAGCTCTTTCCCCTTGATCTTCTCATCACCGCGCTCGTATTTTAGCTTTGCAGGCGGTGCGGTCAGCCCTTCTACAGTCGCCTCGGCCAGCTGTACTGGTACTGAAGAGCCATTTTCAGGCGTCTTGTATACGGATATCTTGACACTAGACGACCCCGCGTTGATTGAGAGTATTATTTCCGGCATGTTGTTCTCGGTATCGAGGAAGGATTTAGTGGTCTCAATATGACGTCAGTCAAGAGAAGTACCCAGCCTTGCAGGGTATTTCTGTTTCGGAAAAGGAAAGAAGTTGTTTCTGTATGTGAGATTTTCACGAAGAAAGAATCTTTCCCAAAACTGAGTTTGCAATGCGGTGTTGTAATAAGCGTATGTCAGGCATGCAACGTGCAAGATCGAATCATCGGAAGTCGCGGAGCTCTAGACCAACAATTTCTTTCGGTATCAAACCGTGCACAGTCGCATCGTCATATGTACGCTAGTTTTCGATGCGTCTCCACTGGCTGGATGATCCCAATGCCGTATAGGGCGAGGCGCATTACAGCAGCGTGGTGAGCTGACACTTGTAAAAGTACATACAAAAATGACGTCATTGTCGACATTCACCTGGACTAGCTAATGATTGCAAGCGACTGAACTACCAAAAATGATTCCATAGAGGAAGTGTACTTCTCAGTTACTGGGGGTTTCGTGGAAAGAAAGAACCACACATTCTCATCATCGCAGAAACGTGCGTGTCAGTATTGACAAAGCGATTCATAGCTTGACCACTTCAACCAATATTATATGCTTCACATGAGAAATTATGAAGAAAAAGAATTCCCAATCTCTAGAACATGGTTCCCAAACTCCACAAACCAAATAGAGAAACTCTCATCATGTCAACGCAATACTAGCACATCATCCACACAACAAAATTACCAAACACCCAACACTTTCCTTGCTACAACACGTGCCCACAGCAACACAAACCTCCTATAAACTCCCACCACCGCCATCCACACTAAACAATCAACCAACCCCTCACATACCACCCACACCTTCTCCTCAATATCCCACCTCACACCACCTTCTCTCCAACCAACACCCTCAAAACACACCAAACCTACGCAACCCCCCATCCATCTCAACCTTCCCATTTCCAAACAACACACCTCTTCCATTCATTCCCAGCCAAACCACGCATCTCACCACAAGGAAAGGACTATACTGGACCGAACAGAATGATGATTAGTTTTAGTATACAACTCTACATTGTTTCGACAAGGAAGAATCGAAAGGAAGTATTGTGTAGCGGAGAAAAAAAGGGGGGGAATACTTACGATGTTGCCGGAATCTTTTCATGATGAGACAAGGTGAGGTGAGACAAATTACAGTATTAGCATACATCATCATTTCCGTAGCTCTCTACTTCACACATATCGCGAACCCAACCGTCATAACTTTTAACAATTTATCATTTCTCTACCCTTTTCATCCGCGGAAGACATCAAAGATACAAAGCAAAAGCCATTGCCATATGGACATTTGGAACCCTTTGTCCCCTCCCCCTCCCTCCCCATCACCAACCACTGTTCCTGGTCGTTCTTTTTTTATCTATACATGGCGCCTCCCATCCACCATCGCCCCCGACCATCCCTTTGAACCAATGATTTAGGACCCCTCCTCCCTCATGAGCCGGACGAGAAAATCCCATAATAACAAAAAAACAAACCATCACAATGAGCCAGCCCATGAATGAACACACGCACGCACATATGCGTCTTTTCCAGCCTGTGACCTCGAGTGTTTGAGGGGTAAAAAAGAAAACAAAAGTCGCACACGCTTTGCCGTACCAATATATCCTGTATGAAATGAGCCCGAGAGAGAAACCTGAACCTACTAGTGAAAAAAAATAACAGCAAAGAAACTCCAAATTGATGCGATAACATGCATGTGTGTGTGTTTTCGCGCTCGAACAAAGGGTCAACAACGCCGCTCAAATGGGAGAAACAAACAACGCTCTGCGCGGCCGCGTCCTTTTCGCGACGCCGAGTATAACGACAATGCCAACGTCATCAAGGCCATGTGGAAGACCATGGCGCAAGTCTTTTTTTCTCCTTTTTCTTCTTTTCCTTACCACATTTCGCAGTTCAGTTCGTGGGCGCTGACGGCATCTCCCGATAATAGCGAATGGCTTTGCGGGGCCTGGGCATAGAGACATTACCGAAGAAAACTCTGGACCGCCGAACCAGAGCGGACGTCTTGTTTGCTTCCGAGATATCCAGAAAAAAACAACCGGGTACGGTCTATCTCGACCGGCGCAAAAGGCATTCTTCAAACAACGAAAGTGGTAACATATTAACCACCTTTCCGATCAGCAGCATTGGCAGGCAATGGCTCACCCATGGCTTTCTGCTCTGGCGCCCTTGGTTTCTTATTCTTCCCCTTCTTACGGGGAGCTTGTTGTTGCCAAGAGCTAGGGCCAGAACTTCCTGCATTCGCTTTGTTTGTGCGCTCGTGGTTTTGAGTAGCCTTTTGTTGCTGGCTGTTGCGGTTATCCTTGCCGTTGCTGTTCGATCCATTTGTAACCGATCCGCGGCGGTGTTGCTGCTGGTTGTTTGACTTTGACTGTGACTTGTGCCCATTGCTGCTGTTCACAACCTTGCTGAGTTCAGAAGAACGTGTCACAGTTGGAGAGGGTGTGCGAGTCTCAAACACTGGTGACAGTAAAGGGATGGTTGCAGATTTGACCTCCTGGGGATGCGCTCGCTGCACATTTGTCGTTTCTAGAGGTGGAAGACCATTGGGATATGCAGGCGCAGCCCACTGAGGATTAGGAACCATACGGGTTGGCGATACGTCTTCAACGCGATCACCGTTGTGGTTATTGGGTATCTCGTAGTTTACCCAGGCATCGCCAACTGTAGGAAATGGCTGCTGACTTTCATCGGATGCACGCGGCATGCCATTCAACTCCACTGATGGGTGCCCATTCATGGACCCATTGACAATTGAAGGCCCCATGTTCTCTACTACCTTTTGCCTCTGCATTTCCTGGAGTACTAATTGCTGACGTGCCTGGAGCTGTTGGATTTGTTGAATGGCTTGGTCGTCGGGATACATGGCAAGTGGAGCTGAAGGTGGCGCCTCAGGTGGAGCGGTATCGAATGTGTCAGCCTTGGGACGGGGCTGTGTAGGAAACGAGCCATTGACAATGACTGGACCGTTATCAATAGGCGCAGGCCGTACGGAGTCAACGCGCGACTTGCGCTGCTCGGGCACGGCATCGTTTGGCTGGGCAATACCGCTCGAACAACTTCGCATATGACCTCCCAGTGGAGAAGGTGATCTTGTTACCCGCCGCAATGCAGTGTTCAAAAGAGGCTGGGTAATCTCTGGCGACACCCGTCTGCGGCGCTGGGCCAGTTCGCTGAAAGATGGAATTGCCGACACAGTGTACTCTTGTAATGAGCGTACCGGCGTTGGCTGCGGCTGCGGCTGCGGCTGTTCTGCTACAGAATAGCCCACGTAGTCCTTCGGTGAGCCATTATCTGAAGATGGGGCCGAGTCCTGTTGAGCAGCCATTGGATTTACCGGAACATCTGACGTGGCTTGTGCAGTTGAGAGATCTTGCGAAGACCGTGCAATGGGGTAGCCGGCAAACATGCTTGGGTCAACGAACTGAGGCATAGGCGGATACCCAACAATGACAGGCTGCTGAGCAGCGTTACGTGGCGGCTGCGAGTGCGAACGAAGTGAGGTTGTCTCACTAGCATTTGATGCGCGGTGAACACCTCGATGTACACCAGGCATGCTACTGCTCAGAGATGGCGAAGATGGGTTTGTCCGTGAGCCATCCTGTGATCCGTTAAGATCCACCTGAGAGGGATTGTAGAAGCCAGGGTAGTGGTATAGGAATCCCTGAGGGAGAGCGTTTGGCGGTATTCCACGCTCAGCCAGCCTAGGGCTTTGACGTCCATTAACATACGGCGACTTTTGAGGTGACCCGCTCACGCTGTTTGGTGCTCGTCCTTGTGCTTGTGCCTGGGCAACGGCATGGGCATGCATCTGAGCAGCTCTTACTTGGTGTGCTTGCTGAGCATGCTGCTGCGCGGCCAACTGCGCACGCAAAGAATTTGACTGCATTTCCAACATCTGGTATTGCTGGTACAGCTGATCATGGAGCTGGTCGTGAATACCTCGAGGGAAGCTGAAATATTCTGGACCAGCACTTGCAGGAATGGGTGGACTGTGCAGAAAGGGTGGGCGACCCTGACTGTAATTCGAGCTGTTAGAAGAACGTCTGCTGCCTCCATGCTGACCCTTGAGGTTAAAACCGCCTCTCCCCCCGCGCGAGTTGGAACCACCGCGGCCACTGCGATTTGGCACACTCGAAGTGATGATTGCCTTTTGGGACTGCGGTTTCTTGAAGATGGCGTTGGACTTTTCTTCAGGGGGATACTCAAACTGCTCACACACTTTGTCAAGCTGCTGACCATCTGCGAGCAAATCGAAAGCCCGACGTATCTCCAGATGTATCCCACGCCACGCGTAGTCATCTGCCGAGTTTCCGAGATTTCGATCAACGTTAAAGGGCTCCTCTACACAAAGGCGGTTGACGCCTTCCTTCTGACCACCGCCCGGGTGCCAGCCTTTTTCTTCTCTTGGTATGCGTTTACCCTGGCGCACCGAGATTGTCTCCTTTTCGTAGTCTACCTCATGGCCATATAGACGGAAGAAGTGAAAGAGCAACTGGCCCAGACTTTCCCTGTTCTTTTCCCCAAAACCTCTCAGCTTTCCAACATCATCGGCGAAACTCGATAATGACGGCTGACCGGTCGTTCCGTCTCGTGCTCGCTGGGGGAGCTCATGTAGATTGGGCAGAACCGGTGGATCCCGTGTTTGAAGAAAGTTGAGAATCATACATATCCACGTATACGAACTGATTGTGCCACCAATGCCTGCCAAGGGTTAAATGAGAAGCAAGAAGTGTTGCAGTGCACTTACCAGCATCGTTAAGGATACGGCGTTTTGTCCAGTATTTTATGATCATTGCCAATGGCCGTACACGGTCATCTAGCTGGATGTATGTCTTGATCATGCGTGTATTCTCGATTGCGGCGACGTTGTTCACGTTGATATCGCAGGCGAGCTGCAGCTCGGGATCCCAGACTTTTACTATCCGGACCTTGGCTGCGGGAATACACACGACACGTTCCATGCCATCTGTAAATGTTAGTCGCAGCCAAGCAGAGTGACATTGCTCACGTACGCTTGTCGAGAGCCTCAGCCAGCGGGTGCATCTCTTCTAGCCTTTTCATGGGCGTTTGGATGCAAATGTCAACTACCAGGGTTAGCGCGGAACTTGGTGTAAAGCGTGACGCTTACCATCGCTCTCCGATGTCCATAGCATGTTGCCCGAGGACCCAAACACGTGGACCATCATTTGCGTACCCGGAAACTCAGTTTCCAGTATGCGCTGCACCTTTTTCACGAAGCGCTCTCGCGTATCGTTATCCTGTTGCTTGGGCAGCAACCGGTCATACAGCTCGCGCATGTCACCGCTCAACTTGTCGTCTTCGTGGGGGTCCAAGCTCTTCTTGGGCTCCTCTTTGGCCTTGTCCAATATCTCGTCTGATTGGTAAGGCATTCGTCTCCTGCCCAGCATGCCAACATTGGTTTCGAACCGGCATTTGAAGGGACGGGCGGGCCTAAGGGTAGGCATGGCGCCGTTTGCTTCGGAGGATACGGAGCGTGGCGAATGGCCGCCCAGGCCGCCGTTGGGCGAGGGCGAGCGTGAGGGCGTGTTGTATTTGCGGGCGACCTGCAAGGGAGTAGAGGGGACTGAGCTCGAGTGGTGCGAGACTATAGACGGTCGCTGCGGTCGCGCCTGTGCCTGTGTCTGTGTGTCGGTGAGAGGCGGCTGCGCTGCCTGTTCCCGCTTGCTTGCCATGTTTGGAGCACCGTTTGATGTCACCGTGGGCGTGCAGTTGGGCACGCTGCGCTTTGTATCCTTATGCCCATCTGTGGTATCTTTGGGTGCCTGTGCCGTCTTGACGGGAGGCTTCTTGGAGTGGGTGCGGCCTGAGTCCCGCTGGGGCGGCGGGCTCAGCGAGTGGGGAGACACAATTACGGCTGGAAAGGGAGTGTGCGAGAGGGATTGATGCACTTCGTCGATGCGCGCAAGCTGCAGGAAGGGGTGCAGCAGCAGATACGGGGGCAGCTGAGCGTACTGGAGGTGCGAGCGCAGAGGTTGCTGCGGCAAGCAGAGGGCGGGCGAGTAAAGGGCGGCGGCGTGGTCCTTTGTTGGGCGGGAGTCGGTGTGGATGGGCTGGGGATGGTGGATGTAAAGATATTGGGGGTTGTTGTGGCGGCGGTTGGTCATAAACTTTAGTGGCCGATGGGTAGGGGAAATCGAGCGGTAGTCCGGGAGGGGCTTCTGCCGCTGCTCACTGTGCCAGGGCAGAGGACAAGAGAGACGGGGAGAAGGAGGGTGAGAAGTGCTTCCAGAGCAGGTCGAGGCAGCGCGTGAATGAGGCGGGCGCTTTTGCAGCGAGTGTCGTCTTGAATTGGGCGGGCGAGCGAGTTGCTGGTGCTGGTGCTGGTGCTGGAGAGAACCCCTGCTGGGCTGGCCTTGTGGGAACGATGTGGTGGGAATGGGGGGCGCTGAGTGGTTGGACGGGCCAGGCGCTAATCAACGGGCCAGACGCAGGTGGTGTGGTGGTGGTGGGTGGGTGAGTGGGGAGGGAGGATGGGCACTGCAGACAGCGAGCGAAGCAGTGCAGAAGAAAAGGGCAACAGTCTGTCTGCGAGGTTCTGTTGCTTGCAGTATGTAAGTACAAAGTACGTATAATGCATGGGGCGTAGGCCTAACGGGGGGATAAACGCACAGAGCTACGTCTAGAGCGCTTTGGGGAGGGCGCGTGCCGTCACCTACACCAGAACCGTGACTGGCGACAGGGGCGCCTTCTCGACCGACTATATGCACTTTGCACTCCAATCTAATGAGCCCATGAGGGCTGCGTCGTTGCCGGGCAGGGGCTGTGGGTGCAGCAAAGTACCGTCGTATCTAACAACTAGTAGTACATACTATGTACCTGGATTGTCTGGACAAGACTCGACCGCGCCATGGCTTCCTGCACCAACATCACGACGATTAATACCACGACTACCAACCACGACGGCCATGGCTACGACGTCGGGAAGCCTGCTCCGCGCTCGGAGCACCGAGCAAAGACAAGGAAGGCAGAGGGGAAAGCACACGCCCACAGCGCCACGGTGGTTCAGTCTAGGTGTAATGCAATCGACTAGGTCAACTGGCACCCTCAGCGCGTTACACATGCTCAGCACCCAACTGCGTCAGCCCCAACGCTGCTGACTAGGCGGCATCTGGCCATGTCCCAAGGCTAGTTCTCGTCTATCCTTCCAACAGCGTGGAGTCGGGTTGACCGTCGCTGGCTGGGCGGCATCAGCACCAAGCAGTAGTACGAGTGGTAGCAGAGGCAGTAGCAGTAGCACGCTGGGCGGCGGCAGGCAGGGCGGCGCTGGAGCCCCTTATTGCGTACATGGCAAGGGATGGCGGCCTCTGGTGAGATTGTAGGGGGGGTGTGTTGGATGCCAGGTCAGACGGGCTGGCACTGTGCCTTGTACGTACATACGTATGTAGACCGCAAAGAGCTGCTGCAGACCGGCCTTCGCACAGCGAAAAAAGAGTATTTTTGGCCTCGTCTGACGCTCATCTCATCTCACCTTGACCGAGTGTACCGCGCGAACGGATGCAGGGACAGCACCGTGCTGCCGGCAGCCAAGTGCGGCCCTCTCCTGAGGCCGTCTCGGACAATCTCGTGTGGTTATGCCAGGGCTTGCGCCGACTCAGGGAAAATGTTTTGACGCAGTAAATTGGGGCTCAATATGCGCGCAATCCGGGCCCGTTTCACATGGCCGGAAATATTTCTGGGAGGGGGAGGGGGAGGGAGAGAGGGCCACGGCAGGCGGCAGGTGCGTGCTGCGTGGGGTGCACAGGGCACGGCCACGGCCACTGTCGCTGCTCCTGCCATTGCGGCGGCGGCGGTGGCCGTGGNAGTGGCAGAAACGGCAGGCGCGCTGAACCCCAGGGGAAGCCGCAGCCGATGTCCATGTCCATGTCCATGTCGCCGCAAGTACTCTAGCCGAGCCATGGCGGCTGCTGCACCGCTCCGTCTGCACGCCACCATGACTGCGCCGCACCATGCCCCGTTTCTGCTCCTCCCACGCATGCTGTACACACGCCCCACCCTCAACCCGCTCAAAATATTTCGTACATTCTCCTCTTCAGCCATGGCCCCGCACCGCATAGGTATATACATAGACTGACGGCTGAGCAACCACGTTGCATCTGTACCGACATGGCTGATGGTCCCTAGCGAACCCCGCCCTCTTGTATGACTCCGCCGACTCCAACACTCACCACCACCATCGTGTCCGCTCATAGTATACCAGTATTTGCGATCTGCAGGAAAAGTTCCGCCCCGCCATCTATGAGTTCCCCAAGGTGATTGCAACGGCACAGAAGCTGCTTCGAGCAAGTATGTCTTGCATGTTTCCATGACCCTGCTCGCTTGCTGCTGACCAACACCCCCCTCCCCCAGGCCAGGTGCTTAACATCCCCGTCATTGCAACTACCCAAAATCGTGCACGGTTGGGCGAGACGTGTCCAGAGCTGAAGCTCGATGCCCCCGATGGCGTCAAGACTGTTTGTCATCTTGACAAAACTCTCTTCTCCATGATGCATGTCTCAATGCCATCCACGTAGCAATTCAGGCTGATTTCTCTAGTACCCCGGAAGTTGAAAGGGCCCTCGACTCTCTCAACGCCCCCGGCCCGCTGTCCGCCATCGTTGTTGGCATTGAGAGCCATATCTGCATCACCCAGACCACTCTGGATCTTCTCAGGCGAAAGCACAAGGTATATGTCATCGCAGACGGCGTAAGCAGCTGCAACAAAGAAGAGATTCCAATTGCCCTGGCAAGATTAAGACACGAAGGCGCCATTGTCACCACCAGCGAGAGCTTCTTGTACGAACTGTTTGGAGAAGCCGGCACACCCGAGTGAGTGGCCAAACAATTCCGCATGATTTTGACAATACCTAACACACCGCAGATTCAAGGCACTCATCAACATTGTCAAGGAATCCTCGCACACCACCAAGGACACTTTGCAAGCCCTCTGCAAATTCTAAGCTTGACTAAATTTAGCCAGCTTGTAAGCAGCCTCTCCAAGTTCCGATAATCTAGATGACCGTCAATATAAATAAATATCCAATCTAACACCATCTGTTTCCCAAGTACATGGACTGAGCACACTCTATACATCTGAATACCCCTGCTCTTAGTATATTACTTTAGTACAGCGCGCGGCGGCTCTGACTTTCCCAGTCAAGCCAAAACAGCCACATAAACCTTGCCTTCCATCTTGGTCTTTCCGTGATTGTTTTTGCTTCAAGCCACAATGACGTAATCGCCGCATCGGGTATGTGGTATGCATAATTCGTACTTGTAATGCCGCTACTACACTCTCACCCATTCTTTCGTTCAAGATACACAGCCTCATCCCCATAACCAAGCAACTTCTCACCCAACCTTGCACTAACCACCTCTGGCTTCTCAAACCCAAACTTCCCCCAAAATGCCGTCGTCCCATATACAGATGCCAAACAACTTGTCTTGTACGCCTGAGCCGCCGTACCCAGTACCTTTTCAACCCCCCTTTGCGCGAGACCAGACCCCCTAGCTTCAGGCAAAATAGCCAAATCATGAATATAATACTGATCCGCATCTTTTGCTATTTCTCCAAGCAGCGAATCCAGCTCAGGCGGTTCCTGGTGCCGGATCGGATGTGAAATTAAATAGCCATATAGTGTGTTGGACTCTTCGTCGTCGAATAATCCAAGACAACCTGTTGGAAACAGAGTTATGCGTTCGAGGAAGACGGCGTCGCGTTCAGCGAGGCCGGGGTGGATTGTTGCCGCTATGTGGGAGAGGTGGGGGAGAAGGGCTGGGGTGAGGGTGCGCCATTGTAGTTTTGTCTTCTTGACGGATGGTGGCGTGTCATCCATTCTTGTGTATGTTGGTTGAGTTATGGGGTTAGTTGATGTATGTATGTTTGTAGTGTATGTAGTATGTATGCAGAGCGGGACTGATTACTACTACCTTGGAATATTGGATGATTGGTTCTCGGGGTGCGGTCCGTGCATCGGATGACTATTTAGGAAATACATGACTTTCATGCAAGATAAGCGTTGCAAGTCCCGGAATACTTCCCATGTCTCTTAGCGGTGAGCTAAGAAGTTAGCAAAGTCCTTTCACGTGCTGATGCTGTTTAATTGAAAAGGCAATAGATTGGCTAAATCCTCACATACGATATAATCTGTCTATTGTTGGCGCGAAATTCGTAGCGGTCCCTACCTCCTCTACTTCTCAGCAAATTTAACCCCACAGTGGATTTTGAACCATATCCCCATCAATATCTGTTACTATGCTGCGGCTGTCCGTGCTCAATGGAGTGCAGCGTGTCGGTAATAAAGGAATCGATGGAAGTGATCTGGTCCGCGTGCGCCACCTTTTCCACTAACCTTTGGGCTCATGACGACTATTGAACGCCAAGAGTGTCATCTCACAGGTACTGTAGATTTAAACTCCAGAATAAGCGTAGACGGAAACTTTCCTATGACCCAAGTTGGAATCATCGCTATCGGTTTTCTTTCGCAAGTGCAGAACTGCAAGACAATAAAAACTCTGCGCTATCATTCTGTTTCTTTTGAAGCTACAAGCACTATTTCAGTTGTTCGCCCTTCCATAATGAGCAAGTCTACATCTGATGGGTAGTTGGCAACCCCCTGATAACTGGCGAGACTCGTCGATTATTGCGCCACATCGGCTAGCCCGAATGTCTACTGGCCGGATTGAGCACAAACAGGCGAATAGAATTTCCCTTTCAGGGGCTAAAGCGCCATCGTGTTTTATATTTCCTATGGTACTAACCGAGAAATAGCATATACTAATCTGATATTGACCTCAAAGTATGTACTTGTATTGCACTACGACTTGCCCACTTACCCAACGGGTTCGCGAGGCTGCACGCTAACGAATCTTGAAGATCTCACTAGAAAACCAGCATGTCACGACAAGAAGCGCCACAACAATATGGGCAAGCTCGACACCATATACCCCTTAGCTAAGCTCCCTGAATCGCATGTAATTTGCACCACTTGACAATATGATATATATAATGAGCTCGGCCATAGGCATAGCGAACAAGCAGTCCTCTCCAAGCCCACCTAGAAGACCTCCATCATGCTCGCCCTCAAACTCATCCTCATAGCCGCAACCAGCGTACTCGGAGTCGCTGTCCCCGAACCAACAGCAGCAGCCCAGCAATCCGCTATTTGCACAAAAAACAATGAAATCCTCAACGCTCTGAAGAAACTCGGCGTACCAGGCACAAATTTTTGCCGCGAATATATCAACCCACCCAAAACAACCACCGTAACATCGACTATCACACCTACCCCCGTGTAAGTCTACTTGGGAACCAACGCATATACACACTTGATTCACAACGATCACTGACAATCTCCCAGGATAACCACTAGTACCGAAGTAGTCACAGTAACAAGGACCCAATGCGGCCAGCAAAAACGCGCCGCATCCCAGCACTTTGAAATCGAATACTTCGACCAAGGAAGCCGTGTCAAGCTCGACAAGCGCGCAAATATCCCTGCCCAACTCGCGCGTTTCCCTGCTGCAAAAATCGCAGATGCGTGTCGCTGTCTCTGCTTGAAGCCAAAGACTCCTCCTACTCCTATCGTTACTACTGTTACGACTTTTGCACCTGTACCGGTAAGTTTTCTTTGATCTTTCCTTGAAGAAGAAAAGGACATATGAGAGAGTAGGTGCTGACGGTGAATTAGACGGTTAGTGTCACTACGACCGCAACTGCGTGCGTTGAGAGTCGACCACCCGTATGTGATGCGCCGGGCCAACCCTGCGATTTGGGGGACCCGGGTAAGTGCTGTAATCTGACTTGCTATAATGACCCGAGGAGTTCTATTGGTCCTTATTGTCTGTGAGGTTGGGTGGAGATTGTTATGGATGAAAAGAGTGGATGGTTGGGTTGGTAGAGGGGCTTTGAAGTGTATGTAAGAATGTTTGGACTGTAATGTGTTAATTGTTAGTTGGAAGATGACATGGCTTCGAGACAGAGTATTGTTGCTAAGCAGATGCGGGGTCGTTTAACGATTGAAGAATGTCAGCATATTAAGAGTTCCATGTCGACATCGTTTCAATAACGTATCCTCTCCTCGCTTCCGGCTCAACTGATTATAGTCGGCTTTAAAGTAATCCCAAAGACATTCCAATTCGGCGAAACAAGGGAAAATGGGGGTTGTAGAACACCTTTGCTATTACAGTGATGCTTCACAAAGTTAGAAGGTCAATCGGAGCCGCACATCAGGAGTCATATTGCTGCTTCGTCTTCAGGCTTTACTTCTTCTCCGAGAAAAGACAGCAATAGGTAGGACAAGTGAAACAACCTGGTAATAGAACAATATAAAAAAAGAGCTGTGAATCTACACCTCGTCCAGCATCAACTCGGAACGACAACAGCATAGATCCACGGACCAAGGAATAACCAAATTTATCATTGGAATACCACTCAGTATATACCAATCTTACCAACCCCACTCTTGAGCTGAATAAGCGCTACCATCGCACTTCACCGCAACCCACACTGCGCTCTTCTCCGCGACCCACGCACATGCTGCATCAAAGCGGAGCAACCATGCATACCCGGTACTTATGCAGGAAAGCGGCACATATAACTCCATGCATCGCACCGCCCCTAGCCCTTCCCCGCAAAAAGGACGGGAAGAAAAAAGCAAATAAGAAAAGAACGTCCACGTCCCTCCCCCGACAATCATCGGAGTCCTCAACGCCTCCCACGGCGCGCCATCTCGGCACCCTCACAACTTCGCCCTAACCCTACCGCTACTCCCAACCCCACCCCTCACCCTCGCACCCCCCACCCTCCCCTCTTTAAACTCATCCACGATCTGCGCCATAGTAACCCACTCGACCCCCTCATGCCCATTAACCCACTCAATAAACCGCTCATGCAACAGCAGCACCTGCGGCTTCCCACTCACCTGCGGATGAATACTAATCGGAAAGACAAAACACTCTCCCTCATTACACTCGCGATATAAATACTCAAACTGCTCTTTCCACAACCGCTCAATGGTGGCGGTGTCGACGTAGCCGTGCGTGCTGGGTTGCGAGAGCGAGAGTTGGAAGGGCGGCCAGTCGTCTAGATGCCAGTTTGCGGGGATTTCGACAATGGAGGAGGGGATTAAGGGGGTCATGGGGGTCATCCAGTGGGAGGCAGGTTGTGAGGTGTTGGTGCTGGTGTGCGTGGTTAGGTGCGGGGAGGGGAGGTAGTAGGGTTGTGAGTCGTGGTGCATGAAGGAGTGGTCGTATTCCTATCATTCCCGTTAGTAAGTTGGAGATATGTTTTGTTTGGGAGGGGTTGGGGGGGGGAAACGTACAATGCCGAATTCCTCGAGGAGGGCTACGGTTTCTTTGCTGGTGCTCCAGGCTGGGGCTGTCCAGCCGCGAGGCTTTTTGCCTACCATGTCGGTTAGGACTTGGATGCTTTTTGCCAGTACGTCTCGTTGCTGTTGCTCGCTGAGTGTTGAGACGAATTCGTGAGTGTAGCCGTGAAGGCCTATTTCATGGCCTTTGTCGATTATCTTGCGGATCTGCTCTGGGAAAGATTCTGCCGTGTGCGCGGGTGTGAACCAGGTGGCTTTGATCTGGTACTTGTCTAGAAGCTTGAGTAGGCGGTCGATGCCTACGGTTGCACCAAAGACGCCGCGGGATACATCGGTTGGATTGGCTGGGTCTCCGTTTTTGGTATTCAGCCTTGGAGTGATTTTAGTCAAAGAGACAAGGTATCATCTGAAGTGAACGTACCATCCGCTTACCTAGCATGGGCGGGTAGTCAGCCGTGTCCTGGAGAATTCCATACTTGTCACTAACTGCATCAATATCGATACCATATGAGCACAGAACGCGTTTCGGCATATTGACGAGATGAATGTCTATATTGGATTTACAATGGGACCTTGTAGCAGCAAGCTATTCCTGGGCTACATGTCCTTCTTATCATTTTCCCAAGGCACTTCAACCGCTGTAGCCGGTGGCATAGCAACAAGCATGACACACCGACATACCGGTCAATTGGCGTTACCCTGCCACTTCTGTTCCATAGCGTGTGTTCTGTAGAGCCACATATATGCTACGGACTCGTCATGAAAAGTGGATACTACTACTATACTGCATGTACGTAAAACTAGCTTGCAGCGGCCCAGGAACCCAATTCGTCTTGGTGCAGCACATTACGTGGGAATAACTGTAGATTCATACCCAGATAAGCGAAGGTAAGGCGTGATAGTCGCAGGCGATAAGTAAGACGGAATTGAGCGCGCAAAAGGCGGGGCAAAGGCAGCATTGCCGAGAGCGGCGCCCGCATTGAAGTTGACGTAAATGGCTCTGACAGCCCCATGTTCATGTACGATTGTGCAGACTGCTGCGTTGATTTGCTTCTATCCTAGGAGTTCTGGGCTGATTTTCACGCCATGTTGTTCGTCGAGTGTGAAGGAACGCCGTACCAAGTGAGTTGTGACGTCATTTTTGTCTCTGCAACCTCCTGTCCTTGCTAATACATCTGCATAGATTGGCTACCAGCATGGCCAAGCTGCTAAGCTACAGATCAATCGGAGCATTGAGTTTTATGCATGCTTGTTTCTGAAGAATTGCAAGCAAAGATGGCCGCAGGTGCTTGAGCACACTTTAGTGTTTGAGCAGCGAGCTAAAGAGCAATGGCCAATGTTTCACCAAGAGATGCAGGGCATTGCTGATGGCTCCGGACGCGATTTATTAGACATTGTGGCGTTGAATGTTCGGACGGAAATCAACTTTGGGCTATTCAGCGATGGATGCACATCGCTCTCATGGCATACCAATGACCACGCATGGCTGGCGCAAAACTGGGATGTGAGTATCCTATTCTGGAAAGAATACGAACCAAGATAGAAGTGCTGACATAAGAAAGTGGATGACGGAGCAGAAGCAAAACCTCATTATCACCAAGATAACTCAGCCCAATAAGCCCACAATAGTCCAGGTCACCGAGGCAGGCATCATTGGAAAGATCGGCTTCAACAGCTCCGGTGTGGGTACTTTGTTCAACGCGATAAAAGTATACGGTGTAAATTCAACTCGAATGCCCGCTCACTTCGGCCTACGAATGGCTTTAGAGAGCAGATCCGCGGGCGAAGCAGTCCAGGCTCTAGAAAGTTTCGGAATGGCATCTTCGGCCCATATCCTCATAGCCGATGCAACGACAGCTGTGGGCCTGGAGTTTACCAAAAGTACATTCGCTCGCTTATCGCCAGACTCCACTGGGAAAATCGTTCATACGAACCATCTCCTTCTCGAACACCCCGGCGAAACCGATACAGTGTGGCTAAAAGATTCGTTGACTCGTTTTCAAACCATGACTGAAAATGCTGCGGCTTTGGGTAAAAACCCCAGCTGGGAACAAGTAGGTCAGCTGTTTGAAGATGAACAAAACGCACCAGGTTCAATATGCAGGACTGAGACAGAGGAGACTGGAAGTGGAACGCTTTTCAATATTGTAATGGATTTGAATAATAGAAAGGCGACCGTGAGGATGGGTAGACCAACAGAGGTAGAGGAAACGATCAATCTGGAACTTTGACGTAGGAAGTAGATATTACATATCTTGCGTCATTCTGAAAAGGAGATGCAAGCTTCACGTTGCACATAACGTCCTGCAATCATGACCTTGTGAAATATTGCGACGAAGATTTCTTGTATTACATCGGCTAGCAATACTGTACTATGTTCTCCCTTGGGGAAATACCGCCTTTTAGCCTTTAATATCTAGGTTTCCCTGCAAATACTTCGAAGCGTACACTAGACTGTATCCCGTAAAACAGTGCTAGGCGGGGATTTTGCGATTGGGAAGCCAAGGCCTATTTAATTGCCGGGTGATTTGTGCCGCTAATGGCAGTAGCAGTATGCTAAGAATCTGACGTGGTGGAAATCGAGCCACGAGGTAAGGCTCAGGGGGTGGAAGATGGGCAACGTGTGTGATTATTCCCCAAGGCTTACACCAGCAGTTGGGCGAACAATACTCCGTGTATAGAAGAAGCCTTTTTTCACAAACATCCATTTACGAGGTCTCCGGTGGTATCATAGTGGCTATATCGAGACGTCCCAGTATTACTGACACTGAACAAGCAGCATTCTGTCGTGAAATGACAAGGTCATGGATCCAGAAACCCGAAAATCTATGACGTACGAAGAAATGACTGAAAGTCGCCGGGTCATCATGATACCTCCAATATCATATCCGCATTGTCGTTCACATTCAAAGAAAACTCCTCATTCCAGTCCTGGGGTGGTAGATTAACATATGGATAAGGTCCAATCGGATCCGTGCCATCGACCGTCGAAGTAGTAGGGTTAAAAATCGTCCAAAACTGATAAGCCTCGTCGACTTCAGTAAGCCCAGAAGGCGGCATCTGGTATTCACCCACACTACTCGTGTCCGATCTAGCTTTATGAAATGAAGGTGGATGAAGACTGGCCTTCTGTTCCAGATACTCCAGGTACTCGGTTTTGACTGGTAACAGCAATCGTTCGTATTCTTCATAGCATCTCCTCGCAGCCGACCATCGTTCAGAGATGGATAAGAAGCATTTGGAAAAGACGTGCATCCAATCTTGCACTTGCTGCCATGAATAGTGATATGCTATGTCTCTTTTGCAACGCTGCAGGCCTTGGAGGAATATGAGGGCGCAATTGAACACATGATGACATGGGTGGAACACGTATTTGATCTTGCCGGCTTCTGCTTCGGATTGTTGAAAGTAGCCGTCGGCAACCTTGACGGCATTGACTAATGCAATCATCATTTGCTCCTTGCTCGGGTTGGGTATTCGGCGTGAGGTGCGATTCAACAGTGACAAAATGTATGGGCTTGCAATGTCCGAGTACAAGCACATCTCAGTCCACCGTGCATTTAGGCTTTGGTCTGTGTTGGCGTTGGCGGCGGCGTATATTTCTTTTTGCCAATTCGTTATGTTCTCGACACATTGCTGAATCCACTGCTCCAGTGACGTGAATTCATCAGAAAAAGGATCGCCGTGCCACAAAACCGAAATGATTTCTGCTTCAATCAAGCGAAACCGGCAAATGATGCGTTGGGTGAATTTCGATATGCGCCCAGTAGGCAATATGCTAGTTTGAGTAATGGCCGTGTCGTCTAGTTCCAACGGAAAGGTGACTTCGATCTGTCTGATAGGCAAACTTGCGGGCCGTAGAAAGATGCAGCATACGCCAACCTCCATTTCCCATGCACACCAGAATATCCGACGTCGCATGTCACGCTCATAAGCAGTGATCTTGGGGTCATTTGGTAGTTCCTGATGAAGACCAAGGTCAATGACTGCTTGGCTAATCAGGCCTGTCAGAAGCCACAAGTCTGCCATCTTGGGATTCAAGAAAATGTATTGAGACAAAAGCAGAATGGCTTGCAGTCCGGGAATGTCGTTGGTCGCAACTTCAGGGATCCACTGCATGGCGTGCCGAACAAGCTGATAGGCGAGGTCGTTTGCTTTGCGTACATTATTCCGTGCACTAGTGGTCAGGGATATGGCCATTATTATGCAGACTATGTAGCGGTTACGAAATGAGTGCTCGCCTGCGTCTGAGGCTGGAGAACTCTTGTGGTAGACGGATTTGAAGGCTTTGGTGACATCGTTGCGATGGTAAATAGGGTACTGCGTAATGACGCGATCGAGATAATTCCGCAAAAGTTTATTTGCACCAACCTCATCTGGCATGAGATCATAGAAAAGGCCTTTGGTTTGTTGCGGGTTCAGTATGGATCTTGGGTGGTTCTCGTTGAGATCATTGGACAGGACAGGGCCCTTCTTGGACGGTAGCCGCGTACCCTTGACGACGCATTGCAGGAAGGGTCGGGCCTTGCAGACGCCGAGAAATGACGGCGTGATGTCTTCCATAACTTGGTTGACTAGGGTGTCAGCAAAAGCACATTTGTCTGAGCGCCACTGCGTGGTCTTTGCGTCAGAGAAATTAGAGTCTGCAGGCGAGGGCATGGCAGCAGTGGGATGGGCCAAGGAGGTGGCATTTGATTGAGCACTGGGGTTCTCCAGCCTGGCAATGTGGGCTTCCAAGAAATCGGCAATGGATCGCGGAGCCTCCTGCTGGGTCGACGAGTCGAATCCGACACACTGTACTCCCGCGCCGACGCAGCGCGAACAGGCGGGTACTTTGCCGTCACACTAACCGCTGTTAGTGAATAGGCACAAGTGTCAGGAGAAGGGTCGCGTTTACTGATAGCTTGCGTTTACGGCAGCGGGCACACGCCAGTACACGGCGACGGACCTTTGTACGGCTCTGCATGGTAGTCGAGAACGAGCGGTAGACGTCTGTACCACGAGGACGTGGGTTTCATTGCGCTGGGAAAAAGAGGAAAAGGAGTCGACAGTTTATCATGTTGGTCTTCGTGGTCCTAGGACAAGATGCTAGCCACCTGAGCTGAGGGCAAGCGGGATGATGTAGCTCCCCATCGATCACTGCCGGTTTGGGCCAGGCTTACCAGATGCACCTCTTGCTCGCTAACACTAACCCTCCTCGCTAGGCCCCCCTCCCCCCAAGCATGCGATTTGCGTTCCAGATCTTCCCTTCTGGCGACAGGGCTGGGTGCAATGAATCCCAGCTCGAACACCATGTGCTGCTAGCCATCGGACTTCTCTCCTACAGACCTCGTACATATTGGCCCTCATGGCAGCCACGGCCAGCGCCAGTCCCCCAGCACTCGATCTGGAGGCGCTGATTCAGGTAACCCCAGACGCCTCCGCATTTAAGGATCCTGCACTCAACTTCCCCAGAGTCTGCCCGCATGCAAGAGGTGCCGAGAGTGTCGCCGCGGCTGTGATACACTCTTGCCAAAGTGCAGGTACACTGTTTCGCCGTCCTACCTAATGCGCCTCTTTCGCTCACCGTCACAGGCAATGCACAAAAGCCGGAGTCGAGTGCATGTTCTACGACCACGGACGCAACGAATTGCTGCCACGAAGGTAAACGTGCGTGCACATCTTCCCGACTCCGGCTAACCGAATCCCCAGTTATATCAGTGGGCTGGTGGATCGTGTGCGCCGATTATCCAGCGAGCTTCCCTCTCCGACAGCCTCGATTGGCCCTGGCATTAGCAGCGCATTCGGTGTGAATGTCAAGCCCGACGCCTTTGCACAAGATGTTACGCAGTACGAGCACCATTTTGCAGAGGTTAAGAACAGCTATCGCTATCTAGGTGCAGAGGCATGCCTAGTCAAGTCGCCCAGGTTGTACGAAGCACACAACATACGCAGCGAGCCGGCCGACGACGAACTTGACGACTGGCAATGCATGAACAAGGACTCTCCCGAAAGGCAAAATGAGCTCAAGCAGTTGTACCTTGAGGTTGTGCAGCCTCTCTATCCTATTCTGGACCCTTCACTGCGCTACCTCCAGCCCGAACTACCCACCAATCTCAATTCGATAGAGCTATTCTCGCTGTACATGATGTATTCAATTGCATGCTACCTTGTTCCTAATAACGGCAAAAGACAGCCAAATAGCCAAAGCAGTTACCTTTCAAGCAGGCTTCCCTATCACCAAGCCAACTCAATCAAATATCGTTCGCTGGCCACTCAATACTTTGCTGACGCCATGGAGCACCTGGAATTAGCAACTCTGGAACCTAACATTGACACAATACGCTGCATTTTGCTCCTCGCCTTCAACAGCTCATTTGACCCATTGACGGGAAATAGCGGGCAGCAGGTCGCTCTCGCTGGACGTCTAGCATTCGACCTCGAATCCAAGCGCGCCCTACAGGAACTTGAACCCAACGATGTGAAAATGCTACAAGCCATGCACATGACAATCTACTGTCTTGAAAACCAACTTGCCTCAACCCTCGACCGCCCCGCTCTATTCCCCGAACCTGTATGTCTAGCCCATCCATCCTAACTCTCGACTGCCTTCCCCCCCACATTACTCACATTAGCCACAGGAAACCGAACTTTGCTTCGACAAGAACAAGCCCGCCGAATATCTCTGCTCCCTTTTCCGCATGCAGAACCGGTTTCGAAGAGGCGATCTCGCAGCCAAGGAAAAGGTGAAAAAGTTACTCCCGCTTTTTGATGAGAAAGATGAGTTGGTACCTCTCCTGCGCATCACACTGCACATAACGCATCTCTTGCTGAACCCCTGCTGGGGAAGCGCATGGCACGTTTTGTACGTCCTCCCTTCCCTTCTCCCACCTACACCTCATTCCCCCTTTCCTTGCTGATGTCAACACAGAGAAGCAGTAGTAAGCTGCGGCAGTGTCCACCTTTGCTTGACGCCGCACTGGGTCTACCGCGCTGGCGCAGTGCTGATCCAAAGCATGCCATCGATATTCGGGGGCAACCTGATTCAGCTCTACTCGAATGCGCTACTGGTGCTTGAGCTTTCGTCGTGGAAGTGGCCGAGTTCTGCGGCCTTGTCAGCGTCGTTGGTGGATTTGATGCAGCACATGAAGAAAAAGTATCAGCCGGATTGGTCAGATAAGTTACAGCATGGGGGAGTGAGGATTTAGAGGTTGGGGGAGTGGCCGTTCTTTGTTTTTGATATTTCTGGTAATAGCGGAGTCCGGTTTTGTTTTCTTGATTCCAATACGGCAGGTGGTTTTGCTGGTTGTTGTTTATAAAAACATTGTATTATTATCAACTAGGATACATAATTGGGCTGCTTATTTGCCATGCTTGGGATATCAGGTCCAGAAATGAGGAAAATTCAATGTGCATCAACGGACACAAACACGATTGGTTACGTATATATTCTCAGCTATGATATCTTCGAAGTGATTGAGTAAATTCTTATCCCCCAAATCTCAACCCTTGCTTTGGAACTACAAGATTATATCTTAGGCTCCTCCGCCGGCTCCTTTGGCATATCCGGAATCTTGCCCCGCCGCTGAAGATTCTCATACAGCGCCAACGCAGAAAGCGCTTTACCATCGCGCGCAGCCTCTCTCCAAAAGTTCTCTAGAGGAACCAATTTCAGCCTTATCCTCTCACCTTCATTCTCCAGTCCAGTCGCCCTGTCCTTGAGCCACTCCATGTGTGCACGTGACAAACGCTTCTGGTATAAGTAGAGTTTCATAAACTCGTCGCATCCACCTTTGTAGTAAGAAAAGAACTATCGTCAGCTTAAATATTCTTGGAGATGGGGATATAATTGTTCTTACCAGGGCTGGGATACATTGCTGTTCGTAGCTGATCGGTTGGGGCCAAGGATTCGGCTTGTCCTTGTTCCAAAGCAAGTTCAGACAGGTCCAACAACTCTTCTATCTTGACATGGAGGTGCGCCTCTTCTTTCAGCTCCTGTGCTGCTGTTCCGGTAAAGGAGCCCGAGTCATCTAGCATGCCTGCTGGGATCTCGGTGAATGCCAGGCTAGAAACTGCCAGGCGGGGCTGGACAGTTAAGATGACGTGTTTCTCGGCTTCCCCTGAGGCGTCTGTTGGTTGTACGATGGCCTGGAGTATATTGTAAGTACTTCTCATCACTCAAAGCAAACAGAGGAATGGGAAAGGGAAAAAGGTCGGGTAACTTACCAGAATAGCCACACTTCCACCTCGCAAGAACGCAGATCCAGGTATCCAATCGCCGTCACCAGACCCATTCCTAATCTCAGATTGAATCTTCATGTATCCAAGTCGCGTGTAATTCTTCTTGTCGAACCAGTCTACAGACTCGATTGTAAGCTCTTCCAAGCGATACGGCTGCCTATGGAACGGATGCGATTCATTTTTCTGTGCATCCAGAGTTCCAAGGAGTCCCAGCAGCCAGTTCCGCAGTGCAGGGAACTTGAAAGCTGGTTTGTCGCTGGGGCTGTCGAGGATCTGTGCGAATTCTTGGGCTGTGAGGTTCCAGGGGAGGTAGACTGGGACGGGGGGGTCCAAGGTTTTGCTGTTGAATTCTTTGAGAGTCAATGCGGCGGCTGGCCTGGTGGAGGGCCTCTCATTTGGGTTATGGATTTCCACGCGCATCTTGGTGGTGTTGTAGGTCTAGAGGGAGTATTGGATAGGATCGAGTACCAGTGCAAGGCACCAGAGACTTCTTATACCTCAAGTCACGTTACACAGGGAAGTAATTTTCATTGATGCACCCCGAGTGTTTGGAATTGCGTGGTGAACCGGCCGAAACACACTTTTGCTTTATTCACTTCCAACAAAGACGTTGACTATATCGCAGGGATTCGACAAATGCGGTGACGGGCCGTTGAGCCAAGTGGTAGGGATGTGCAAAGGCATGGAGTCACGGTAACGGCACGCTCCACTTTCCCCACCGACCCACGCGTCGCCCCGCCATGGTTTATGCAGGGTTCCCAAGGGCAAGCAGCCGAGCCGACGACAACTGCGCGTCTGCGTCCGCCACCCGCCCAACGTCACAAAGCTGTTTACCCTTTGGTCGTCCCCCAAACACCCCCCAGTCTTTACTCAATCATCTTGTAAAGTTCGCCCTTGTTTTCTCTTTCACACTCTCATCTCACTCATTATGGGCACTTTGACCGCAGATTGCCCACGCCTCGACATTCATTGCCCGCACAAGCTTGCCACTAGCTGCAGGCTGACTTCCACGCCCAATTGCTGTGCATGTGCCGATGAGCGCGTTCATTCAAGAACATATCGAGTGTACATTGATGGAGTTGGTTTTGTAAATCGCGGCACAAGGTGGCAAGGCTACTGCTGGTTCTGTAAAGGTATGAACGATGACAGTGTATCCAAGCCAATGTCATAGTCAGCTAACCCCCACCTAGAATTCTGGAGCAATCGCCTTGCTGCTACTGACCCACCGCTTGAGATCGCGCAGACACGCATACCCGAGATACCGGATCAGACCGAGTTCCTAGAGCGATGGTGGGAGTTTCATCAGGGATATCGCATCGCGAAGCTTCCCGATGGTACAGAGCAACGCATAGCTGTTATTGGAGAACCTTTTTATGAAGTCAGCCCTGGTTTCCTACCCCGAACATTAGATCAGCTGCGGGCTGGCGTGGAGAACAATGCATTGAGGCCAGAGAATAGGCTGAGGAGGCGAAGACTGTCATCAGAGGAAGAGCGGCCGGAGGAACCGCAACAGAGTCTAGAGGACGCGTTGGACGACCTTCTTCGAGAGGCTGAAGAGACCCCAAACGTCAATGCAACTGTTCCTACGGAGCCCGAATCGTTGGTAACCCCCCAGATCCAAGAGGACCCCTCCGAACCGCCACGACCAATGACACGACGGGAAGCACAAATGCAGCTCGCACGAGAACGTTTTGCTCGTGTATTTGGGTCGCGCGAGGAGTTAGAGCAAGACGACTACGAGTCACCACTCACGCAAATGTATACACGAGCTTACGACCGCCATCGCCAGGCCGAACAGAGAAGAGCAGAGGGAACAGAGGTTGCGCCCCAGCTCGAGACCTTATCACCGCAAGATCGCCGTGAAATCGAAGAACAACTACTTTGGGGCGTAATGCGGGAATCCCAATCCATTTCTGAGAGCCTGGAGCCAGCAACCGAAGTCTGGAGCTATGCCCCGCGGCGAAGAGGCGTAGACGGCGAAGACGCCGCTGTAACCGAAATCCGCTGGCTGCGCAATAGCGGCGAAATCGACGTCTCTGCCGAACGCATGGCGTATTTCGAGAACAGCGGCGAAGAAGGCACAGAAGCAGCGCGGAGGCTCGTGGTTGCGTACCGTCAGAGCCAGGCAGAAGACGAAGCACGCATTCGCGCCATATTTGCGAACCCCAACGGCGAATCCAGCTCAGCCAACCCCATAGTAACGGGTTGGTGGTCACAGATTCGTCCCCAGTTGTCTGGTATAGCTGGAGGAACTACACAGCCGCTGGCAGAAATGCACAATATACGTCTGGATTTCGAACAGGAACTCGCTCGTATGCGCGCTGCTCGACCACCCTCGCCCCCACTTGTCTCGTTGGATAACCAACCAGACCGACCGCCGCCAAAGTCTGAGGAGGAAATGACCAAGGTACTGGCTTGCCAAGTGTGTTACCAGCAGCTAGCAGATATAGCTGTGTTACCGTGCGGTCACATGGTCATGTGTCAGTGGTGCGCGGATGTTGTAGTACCAGTTAGACATGGACATATACCGGCTCGTCCGACAAAGTGTCCCATGTGTAGGAAGCAGGTGAAGCAGAGATTCAAGATTCATGCGGGATAAAAGGCGTGTATGGTTTGGATGTTCATGTGAAAAGCTATTGAATAGCTTTTGACTTATGATGTTGAATTGAATACATAAGCATGAGCTTAGTAAGTCTAGTTAAGATGAATTCGAGATAATATATGATCTACGATTCAAACTCTTCCTTCTTGCTCTTGGAATGTGTCCTCAAAGCCTATGTTCGTATGCTCGGTATCCCGATGGAACTATGGCCAGTCATTCTGTTCTCTGTTTCAGCTCGCGCAACCCCTCATGTCCTTGATAAGCCTGGGGCAAAGTGCATGTAGCGCACTCTTGCGTCGACGCCTGCGCCTGTAGGCATGCCTCGCCGGGCTGGTTCCGCAACTGACTCTGGTCCATGCGGGAATCTGAATCCGTGTGGAGGCTGTAGACGTGTCGATGAATGCTGATCTTGCGCCTACTCTTGGGCGATTCCGCATGTATTTCCGATATGTTATCAAAACGCCGTGGTTGCTTTCAACACACCCGCGAACCCAAGCAAGGGTCGCGTGTCTTGACCAGCGCTATGAGCTGCCAGTATAAGATGGTGTGGATGCGTTTATGCGTACTCCAGTCGTGTCGGCGCATCAGAGACCACCGTAAATAGCAAACGAAGACAGAATGAGTACCAGCGTGTTGATAACGGCCCACACAAAGGGTATCCAGGTAGACATTTCAAAATATCCAGCTTGATAGACGCCTCCGATACTAAATCCCCAGTCAGCATGCGCTCTCTGTGCCTTGTTCAAAGACAGAGTGGTTACTCACAGTCCGCCGACAATCGCGCCCGAGACCAGCGCTTCAATGCCCCCAACAACGGTGAAGAAGGGCACGGCAATCCATATGAGTTTCCAGTTGCGCCATTGTACACCGCACGCCCATAGTGCTACAACCAGATGTATGCCGCCGACAAGAAGTAGGCTCCAGTATACCGTGAAGCGCAAGACGTCGTCCGGGCGATAGAGGTAGAAAGATGGGTGTGCGCCGACAGGCAGCGGCCAGTAGAGCGAGGGAAAGGGAGGCGTGGTGTAGCCCTGCGGAACAGCCGAGTTGACGCGCTGGATGAAGCTGGGGAAGAACTCGTTAACTATCATGTTGAGTGGGATATGCTCGAGGTGTAGTCATGTTGGGGACTTCGAGAACAGGGGCCGAAACAAGTAATTAATTGACGTGGGTAGGGGTTCAGGTTTAGACTCGCCTCATTCGGGCGACAGCATGGTTTGGTTATGGCTTTCTGGGTCGTTTGGGCGCACGTGACTGGTAGTGCAGTTTTGATAGCCATAGTAGTGCCCAGTAACTATTTACAATATATGCGTTCAACTAACTATCCCCATACTTGTGACGTCGATCTACGGACATAGTAAAATGAATGTTGACGGCGGCTGGGGCCCGAGCTCGCAACCTCGGCTCGACGCGCGTGAGCGCAACAGTCAACACCCGAAGCCCATCATCATCGCAATTCCGACGACGCCCCGAACAAGCCTTCGAATGCGCCAGTTGCCGTAGCCTCCCACGGGCTACCTCGAATCCCCAATCATGCCCGTAGATCGCCTTTTGTCGACGCTGCTGCGCTCGCTCCAGACATATACGGATCAGCAGGACACGCCGCGGTATGCATGCATCTCGAGTCCCCCCCATGTGAACGCACCCGCGCATATACTGACTACAAAGCAGCCTTCTTGGAACCGCGTCTTCGCTGCTTACTACTCTCGGGAACCCACACAACCTAAGTCTTTTGACTTCGCATCTGCTTACGGCCCCCGCGCTATGGGACCGTCCTGATGGCGTTCGCACGCCCCTGCGCATGCTCTCTGTCTTCCACTCGGCTATCACGACAATCATTAATCATCACAACGATGTGCGCTTTAACAAAGCGCCTAAACTTACGCCTGGCCAGGTTCCCACGGGAGGAGGCCTATCGCTCGATGAATGGGTGCGCGCTGTGGTTGCGGGCGCAGACGACCGCAGCCGACGATGGAAGCACCTGGTTGTGCTAGGGGGCCTGTTGATTGGCATTGGCAATCTCGAAGAGCAGGGAATGGATTTGTACTGGGCATCCGCTATGCGCAAGAGAGTAGAAAGCGCGTTGGTGCGGGCGACGAATCTGGCCTTGGTTGAAGTGAGGGAACGCTCCGAGGCTGATGGGTTGGGAGGCCATACGATAACATTGGTCCTTAATCATGCCTTCGGATGCATTGGAGATGTGGAGAGAACGCAGTTTGATTATGACCTGCTACTCCCTGTGCTTATTGGAACGGCGTTTTATTCCAATGAAGGGTTTCAGTCGGCATACTTTCTTGGCGGTTTGGACCTGGATGTGCGGACGACTCAGTCGGGAAAGCTGGATTGGAGTGTAAGTTTATTGCAAGTGAGTTGAGGATCTTGTGCTGACCATACATAGCCACACTCGAGTTCCTTCAGACAGGTCGAGGTCATCATGAACAGGCCGCTTGTAGCCTCAATGGGACCTCTGTCGCGTCTGATTGCGCATGCAGTAGAGAACGTCAAGAACCCCTGGATCATCCAGACCATGATGGATGATCTTGCAAGTTTTTCTCGTGCTCTCACTACGCAATGGCGGCAGAACAAGTTTTCTGATATTGAGGCCGCTGAAGAGGCAGCCAACCTGGAAGAGGAAGCGCTTCACAAGACAACACCACAGCTGTGGAACCTTCTCAAGGCCGCCTTGTTTGCCACGACCATCATCCTCCGTGGCGTCTTTAAACGAACACTGGCTGACAGGGCACTTGCTGCCGATGCCGTTGCCCCATTGCTCGCTGCGCAAGCCTTGCAAACACTGCGCCATCTCTACTTCATTACATCACGGCTAGGCCCAACATCCTTCTCCCAACACACCTTTGTCTACCTCACCGCCATTGACATCCTTGCTGCCTATCCTAATCACGCCGACAAATTCCTCAAAACAGTCGCCTCCCAACATCTCGGCCAAATTCCCAGCCATCCCCTGGACCGTATCCTCGACCTCTACTTCCTCAACACAGCCGAGCACTTCACCCTGGTTCTCTCCCCCTCCACCAACGAAGACCTCCTCGTCGCATCCGCAGTCCCCTACCTCGCTGCAGCTGAAAACCGCAACATGCTCCCCATCTTCGAAGCCGCACACAGCGTCATGCTCGCCGTCCTCTCAGCCCCTCAATCCGCAAACCTAACCGCAAAACACCTTCCCTTCTACATCGACGCCCTCTTCCGCGTCTTCCCTAACAACCTTTCCCCCCGCCAGTTCCGCCTCGCCTTCAAGACCCTCATGCGCGTTACCGCGCCCCCATCCCCCCTCTCAGCAACGCACCCCGATCTCCCAGCTACCCTGTTGGAAATCGTCTATCACCGCGCTCTCAATGCGCCTACGGCCCCACTTCCCCCTGACGCCGTAGCCCTCGCGCTACAAGACTCGGATGCCCCGCCCCCCGCCCTCTCCGAACAAGCAGTCCTCGCACTTACCCTCATCGATGCACTCCCGTATCTCCCCATCGCCCTGTTGGATGAGTGGCTCCCGCTTTGCGCGGAGCTGCTGAATCAGATCCACGACGATGAGATGCGCGAGGTGGCGAAGAAACGGTTCTGGGAGGTACTCGTGAGTGGCGAGATGGATCCTGAGCGTAGTGTTGTAGCGGTGAATTGGTGGAGTACGATGGGTGGGAGGGAGAGAGTGTTATATGGAAGGGAGGAAGGGGTCGGGTGGATGAGTGGCGCGTTGCCGGTGGAGGAGGAGAGGAGGGTTAGAGAAAGTAAATTGTAGGGTTGTTGTGGATTGATAATGATACCCATTCGTTCTTTTTTTAAAAAAGCCCTTTTCAAAAAAAATTGGGCGATTCAAAGGGTGCGAGATGATGATATGATGTTTACTTCAGAAGTCGAGCTGAGAAACTTTTTTATCTTATTTTTTTTTGGAATGAACACTGTAGTTCCCTCCCCTTTTCCCTTTCCGCTTATGAAGGGAATATCGAGTTTTTTTTCAACCCGACACAAAGGTAGCAAAGTCGTGTATCTAGCCTCTGACGCTCAGCACAAATGCAGCGAATGAAAGAAAAAAGGGGGTAAAAGCGAGAGAAAGAGAGATATAATACAAGGAGACAAAAAAGAAAATGATATGTACAACAACGAAAAAAAAAGGTATCCAGTAAAGGATCAGGAACCGATAGGCCGTGAAATCTAACTTTTCTATAACATACATGTAAGAAAAAAGAATGAAAAAAAAGGGGGCTAATACTATACTATCCCCGTCATCCTCGTCTCCATCTTCCGTAACTCCAACAACGACACATCACCCTCCTCCTCATCCTCCTCCGCCGGCCCCCTACCCCTCAAAATCGTCGACATCGACTTGACCGTATCACTCTGTTTCCTAAAATCACCCTGGCGCACACTCCCATTCGTAGCTCGGGCAGAGCCATACGCAAAGCGGGCAGACGCACTGGTGCCCCAAGCCGAGGAACCCGAGAAATAGTGTTTGGCGAAAACCTTGAGGGCGGGAGCCGAGGCGACAATGGCGCCGAGTTGGACTTCCAAGACGGCGAGGAGGAGGGCGGGCCAGGTGGTCCAGGAGGAGTCGTAGAGGGCGTTGTTGAAGATTGTGTAGATGGCGACGATGCGGGCGATGCAGACGATGCAGACTATGTAGCCTGAGGCGAAGATTGCGCCCAGCGCAATCTTTTGGCGCTTGGGGATTTGCAAGTTCCAGTAGAGTAAAGTAGGGAGGAACGCGGCGATTGCGTCTTGTACTGCGGAAATGATGCTGGCGGCCACTATATCTGCTTCTTCGTTGACCCAGCAGTGGTATTTGTAGCCCTCGAGTTGGTGGGCGATGTCGAATTGGTACCAGAAGGCTGCAAGCGGGTTGCAGGCGGTGAAGAGGATGATGGTGAAGGCGGTGATGAAGACGGCGATGATGACGATGCTGATCCAGGTCGCAATGCGGAAGCTGCTCGGGATGCAGCGCGCGTCGAGGCGTCGGTAGAAGAGAAGGATGGAGATTTTAATTAGTCCGCTGGCGATGATGTAGAGGAGATAGACGGCGAAGACGATCTTGCGCTCGGGAACGTAGAGGTTGGGTTTCACGTCCCACATGTGGCGGTCGAAGCCGTAAACTTCGGTTGCTATCGCTTCATGTTAGCCAAATGTCGGGATCGGAAACCACTCTTTCGCGTCTTTCATCTTTCTTCCGTTTTTTCTTGGGGTTGCCTACCTAGACATACCACTATTGTGAACCCGATTGTCGGAATCTGTATAGCAGATCGAAATATCAGCAATTAATAGACGGGATATAGACAGGCAGACAAGGGGTTGTTCTCTTTCATACCATTGCAAGCAGTATTATCCAATCGTCCAGTCCACCGTTTCTCTGTACAACGAATCGAGCCCAAGTCCTCGCTGCTACAATGACAATCATGATTGTTCCAAGCACACCGGCCAGAGCGGGTACAACCTTCGGTCGGGTGATCGGATCATCGTAGTTGGACTGTGGCCATTTGGCCAGCGCTTCGAGCGGAGGAAGAACGCCGCTGGAGCCACTGCCATTAGGATTCAGATAGGTGCCCGGCATTCTTTATCTCGCTCCAGTTGCGAGTGGAGGTGTGTATATTAAAACAACGTGTCACTCTTTCCGTCCAGAATATACTAGGACGGCGGGACGGCTAATAACGAGAAAAGTGAAAGCTAATGTAAAGTGAGTCCAGGATTTTCCACGCGGGCCTTGCTCACCAATATTAAGACATGCTGGGTAATCTGGTCGTATCACGTCACATTCATCTGACGGACGACGGGAGGCGAATTGCCCTTATAGAGTGACAACACCCACTCATACTTAGTACCCGCACGGCGCGGCGCTTTCCACCTGCGCAAACCTAGTTCTTCCGTATTGGAACCTCTAACATTTTACGCGGCTCGGATGTAGCTTAGAATTAGGAAAATGGATAAACACGAACCATTATGACTGGTGAGCTAAACACACACAGTTAGACCTTGCTCTAGAACTCCCTCCCCCCTCCCCAGACGCAGCCAACCACTGCATCCCTAAGCGGCAAATAACGCGATGCATTACCGATACGCGACACATACCCCGCGATCGCGTCTCATGTACCTTGACAGGGTGTTGTCCAGTGAGGCCCTGGTGTGATTTCCCATGTACCGGTTCCCCGGAGAAAATATTGGTAATGTACGTGAAACAAAACTTAAACCTACCCTGCCGTTGCCGGTAAGCAAGGGTCAAGTTATCCAAGCTAAAATAACCATTGGTGGCATTAATGCAGTCACTCATTGTGTACCGAGGTCCGTATCCCTATACCCGTCATTGTAATCCCAGAGAAGTGCCGATTTGATAATGGAGGTGTGGCAAGCCCAAGCCTGTAAATACGAAAAGTCAGTAAAAGAGGGTGTGCGAAGTTGATTGTTTGGGAAGTGACCCCGCTGACGATGGACGCTATACCGAAAGAAGCGTATTAGCCAGGGCATTTATGTAGGGACGTGGCGAAACGCCAGATCGATCCAGATCTCACATGGGGATAATTATCACCTTGGCTCGTTACGAGAGAGTGGCTGATCGGGAGCTTGATCTACAAATCGCATATGCCGGCACTTGTTGTCCTCGCGTGATCATCGCGTGGTCTAGTTCACCGTTCATATTTAGCCAGGAACCTGAACAAGTCCACCTACTCCGCGAATAGGATTGGCATTTCGTACTACCTTATTTGCGGGGTTGAAAGGGGGTAATAGAACGACTTGTTGTCTTTTCCCATCGTCTGTTATGCAAATGTCAAAGTTCTTGTCAGCTGCCTTGTTCTACGTGTGGCTTACCGTTAGTTGGCTGGAACGTGGTACACTACCGTAGTGGTACGAGTAGACCAGACCTTTGTATGTGGGCCCCTAACAAGGGGATGATACAACATTGGGATATAGAGTAAGAGCTATACTATATATAATGTAGTTTTCGTTGAGATTATTCAGAACCTTTTTGTAATTCTCCCCAATGTGTAAATTAACAATAGAGTCATCCGAAGAAGAGCCTAATTATCATTTTTAGCGTCTCTACGTACAGGTGACAGTAATCACAGTATGTTGTATCCTGCTGTGCTACAAAGGCAACAGAAATACAGGCATTTGTTGTGATACTTGCTCGTCCCAGATCGTTCTGTTACCTTGGCAAGATTAGACGAATGCACGTAGCCGTAGAGCTTCTGGGGATGAACCACACCACTCTTGTTAATGCCGCGGAGGCACTCGGAAGTAACCTCAGAAACCCAGCAAGATCTGCAGTGAGGTTCGTGACTCGTGCAAAACACCTCATACGATGCACGTCTGTTTGATTCAGAGAAGAGGCAAAATAGAGTAGATTGACGAATGAGGGAACGCGTGCTTACGTATTGCAAGGACTAGTAAAACAAGGACAAATCTACCAGCCAACCAATTGATCAAAAGAGAAAACGACCCTGTTTATTGTAGAAGAAGAATAAAGAAAGCAACTTTGCGTTGTAGTTGCATGAGGCGTGTAGTTTGTTAAGACAGTTTTGGAAACACAAACGAAACAGAACATGATGTTGTTGGCGTTGCTCTGCTGTATGATGAGTAATGGAAAGAAGAAAGTTCAAATGCAAACCTCAGGGCCGAGCGCCATCCGATGCGCCAAGAGATACCGGCCTAACAAGAAATATAAAAAGGGAAACAATAAGAGACGCCGTCGCCATGCGAAATCTTGCATAATTTACACCAAGGGCACGCCCTTGTTTTAAGAGTCAGTGGCCCACCTGTTGGGCACTCGTTCGGTCGCACCCTACGTTTGCTCTTCTTTCGGGCTGGCAGTGCGCGACTCTGAGCGCTGGCGGATGACGGCATCTTTCAGCGCCCTCAACTTCTCTTCCGTCACACGAATGGCTTCATCCATGTCCCTCTCTTTCATGTCTCTGGGCGAGATTCGCTTCTGCGTGTCGACTTCCGGCTGAAGCCTTGCACCAGTGACAACGGAGCTTTGGACCCGATCCAACGCGACCCTCTCTTCGAGCCAGGCCCATAAATCAGACTCTTCATGGCGCCAAATCTCTTCGTACGCCACCTGTCTCTGAGCAGTCGACCACTGGTTCGGACCAGTAACTCCTGTGGTACCACGGAAAAGCCAAGTGTACATGAGGAGCGCTCCGAGGATGAAGATGATGACTTGTGGAGTGAAGATCGACTCTAGCACATCTGCTAGTGGGCCCAACAGACTACGAAGAGGCTCCAATATGCCCCAGTTGCTTTCCTTGGATTGGCTGACTGGAGCAGCAACTGACGTTGGTGCGGGTGCATCATCCAAAAGATTACCTTTGGAGCGTTTCCTGCCCTTTCCGCCCTTGCCCATAGCTTTGCCACCGCCGGCTTTAGCGGCGCTTACGGCAGTGCGAAGAGCAGCAGTAAGGGAGGTGGCGTATGACATTTGACCATCATTCGCACCTTTCTCAATAGGGCCTGGTTGTGGTTAGTACATTATTGATCATCAGTGACAAAGCTACTGTCTTACCCTTTAGCCAACTCTTTCCGCTCCATTCGACAGTAAATGTCATGATCAAGCGCGTGCTATTTCCCGGTCCCCACATCAGACAGTATCGCGTTTTAGTGAGGAATATGCTTCCGTTGGGTACATCCGGAGTCGCCGTGCTGCACTGCACACTCACAGCTTTCTCCAAGTCGAACTGTTCCAAGTTCATGGAAATGTTGCATTTGGTCTGTCGAGGGCCTACAGGGGCGTTCAGTGGCTTGATGTAAGAATAGTTGAAGGTTTTTGAGTCTTCACCCAGCCCCTTCTTGTCGTCTTCCATTTGCAGGTCAGTAGACTTTTGATCGTCGACCAACCACTTGCGCATGAATGCACCAGAAGCAGGACCAAACATCAAGCTGTACACCTTGCCCAGAGGCGCGGGAATAGTAGTGTCGATAAGCAGTTTGTCATAGTGTTGATCACTGTCACCACACTCGCTAGGTCCATGTGTTGATGGACCAGGGAAATCCTGTGCAGCAGAAGCAGCCCCACTAGTTGCCGCTTTGGCAGCATCGGCAGTGTCCCCACCACCGCCATAAGCCTGTGCTACTGCGCCGCTGACCTTTCGTGTCGTTTCGACAGGTACAGCAGAGCCGGCTTCGCTACCAGTTACGCTACCCTCGCCAGGCTCTGTGAAACTACCTATACCGTCATCGTCCTCGGCGTCTTCGTCGTATACCTCGTCATCTGAATCTTGGCTGGATCCGTCGTCACTGGGGACTGACTCTGCTTTCTCCGTCTTATCACCCGTACCGCCTGATCCGTCTAGGGTGACACCGTTGAGAGACGACTTGAGATTGGGGTGAGAGATCTTCCAGATGCCAATGATGAGGTCGTAGGTCGAGTCTCGCGATAGGAACGAGGCGAATACGTTACGAGCGTGGAGCGTCTGGATGACTATAGCATTGGGAAAGAGGACAGCGGTGGACTTTTTCTCAACAGACACAACCTCGTCGAAGCTGATGACCAGGTTGGTGACCCATCCTAGGATGTTACTAGAAAAACACAAATGGCCTTCTGAAACATATAAACGTCCATGGAGCAAGATTTCCTTCTGGAGGGCTGCACTATAGTCCTCGATCAAATAATCGTCCTCGGGAACGCTCTTGAACAGATTGTGGAATTCCTTGTTTCGTCTGGGCGGTGCTACTGCAAAACCGGTTCCATTCAACCGCTGGCTTTGCAGTGCGGCACTTGGAGCTAGAGTACTTGTACTTGCACTGATGACTCCGCCCAGTGTATTTCCCGTGGTAGCGGAGCTGCCCCTGTGCCGTCTCCGTCTGCCGGCACTTATACGACTGCGAACGCTGCCCTGTCGTTGTATCGACGCTGGCGAGTCGGTTAGCTCGGTTTGCCGGGGAGGAGTGGCAGCGCCATTTCCTGATTGACCAGAGACGGCAGTCAGCGACCGTGGGCGCTCGCTGGCTACCGACGGGGGCTTGTCGCCTGCATATGCGGCTGAGACTGCTTGAGCAGCAGCTCTGTCCTCAGACTTTGCAGAAGCCTCATCGGCCTGCATGGCTACGTTTGTTGCAGAAGACATGGGGCTGGTGTCTTTGCTGTCAGTAATGCCGAGTTGTTCGAGGCTTAAGTTTCCAGAGCCAAGAGTTTCAACAGCAGGTCTACGCTGCGCAGCGCCTTCTGTTGCAACCGTACTAGCGTTGGCTGGTCCAATGACTTCCTCACCACCGTCTTCGGTCTCTTTTTCCTCCTTTTGCTGTTGTTGGCTAGCCTTGTTCTTAGCGTTTTGATTGATTGCAATGGTGTCGGTAATGTTGCTAGCAGCGTTCTGCGCAGCAGAAAAGATGGAAGCAAAGAAACCACCAGATACACCAGGCGACGATGGCAAGACAGCAGTTCCTCCAGGGGTTTTTGCTTCTTCAGGATGAGGAGTTAGGGGCGGGATAGACGATTGTGATAGCTTGCTCGGAGGGTTTGTCGCTGATCGTACGCGTCGGTGCGCTATCATACTCCCCGATGAAGGGGCGGCTACGTTGGAAGTTGACTGCACAGCAGCAGACTTGGAGCCGTTGTCGGAATGTATTGACTCTGTGGGCGAGGACGCGTTTCCATCAGTTGGCGTGGGTGGGGTTATGAAGGTCTTAGGGGCATCGATTAAATTGGAGGATGCTGCAGGTAGATTGGCTGTAACAATACGTCTGGGAGCCGCAGATCGAGGCGATGGACTCGACCGTGTCTCTCCGTCTATGAGAATCTGTGGTGGTGAGGCTGGAAGGGAATCATCGGCAATTTTGGCGTCACGCTTCTTTGCTCCAAAAAATGAACCAATACCACCTCCGCTTGTGCTTGGCCTTGCAGTCTCTGTCTCGGTGCTGACTTTGGGAACCACTGGAGATGTGATCGTTCTGCGGTTGGGCGTGAATGCTTCCCTGAGCTTTCCAACTGGCGACACACCCCGTTTATTTCCAGAGACGTCGGTGGTGGTTGCGGGTTTGGCGTTACTGTCCTCGGTCGAGAGCTGAGAGTTTACGAGTGTCGCATCTGCAGAGTTGGTGGAGTCGACCGTCTCGGAGGCTATGAGAGGCGAAGAGAGTGTCAAGAGACCGGCATGGGATTGGTGCGGTGAGATGCCGGGACGCTTTTGAGGAGGTGGGCTGTGGGAAGATTTAGTAGCCGCACACAGAGGGAAGCGAGTAGGTAGGTTCGAGGCAAAGAAAATATGAGACGGACAAGTGTTGGAAAGAAACAAAAGAAAGGGCGAAGCGAGGGTTGAGGAGGGATTGCAGGCGGATATGCGATCATGAGAGAGGGAGAGAGGCAGTGGGTGGGGAAGCTAGTGGCCAGAACGTACGCCTGGGCGCAGTGGAGTCGGTGCCGCAGGGCCATTGCACTGGCCAAACCTTGCTCAGCAAACCCCTAAAGTGTGATATGCAGCGCCGTTGGAAACGGAGGGCAGAGAGCAGAGGGCGTGTGCCTGAAACTAATAGAAAACGGAACACTTACGTTTCGGAGTCGGAGTCGTCGGTGAGCAGGCTGCTGGCAACGCTCTTTGCCAGGCCCAGCGAGTCGTCGCTCTGGTATGGATGGTTGATGCCGGGCCGCTTGAGCTCAGGAACCGGTGGGACAGGCTCGTCGGGGTCGAGAAAGGACAGGTCCTCGCGGCTGGCAGAGGCCGAGATGGACGTGTCGCGCTTCTTGCGACTTTTGAAGAGCTTCGACATGCGGCGGCGATGCGACGATGAGGCGTCGCTGCGGCCGTCTTCGGAGTTTTGGCGACTCTTGCGACGGTCGGTGGCGCCGTCGGTGGGCTTGGAGACGACGTCGTCGTTGCTGCTTGCAATGGACACGGTCGACGAGGCCAGGCCTTTGGAATATGATGGTGGTGCAGCCAGGGTGCCGTCCTTGTCTCTGGGAGGGCTGAGGACAGAGCCAATGCTCCTGCGCCGCTCCTGCGAGGCCATGGGCGGTGGCGTGCGCGAGGTGCAGAGGGCGAAGTTGGATGCGCTCGACGAATAATAGCAGCAGCAGGACGAGTAGGACAGAGCAGGTCAAGCACGTCAAGCACGTCAAGCACGTCAAGCAAGCCAAGCCAGTCGTCGGGGCCAGTAGGTGCCTCAAGCCAGCATCTTAAGGGTTACAATGGGTCGAGGGGGTGGCTGTTGGCTGTGGCTATGTCTGCATGTCTGCTCGTATATGTATCTGTAGCCGTCGATTACGTAGGTCCAGACTTTGTGACGCGCATGGGGTCAGTAGGTGGGTGCAGCCAGGCGAGGGGGAGAGTGCTGTTGTAAGTATGAATGTGTGTGCATCCTATAGCATCCAAGTACCCACGCCCCCCATATGTATGCCTCGCGTCTATCTGGCACGCCGAATAAAAGTAAGCACGGCACGCCTGTTGAGAGCTGAAACGGTGCCCTCATTCTGGCCGTATTCACGGGTCCAGTGATCGACTCGTGGTTGCATGGCCGCGCCGCATCATCCCTGTCCGCCGACCATCATCCCTCGTCAGCCTAGTATCACCTTCACCACCATCACTGCCACCACCACTACCACCACCACACCACCTTGCCCACGCCCTGAGCATGTCCTCCCCCCGCGGCTTCAATAAACACCGTCGCCGCCGCCATGGAGTCCGCCCACCTTACCCACGCCCATGATCACGCCCGCGCTGCCGCCGCTGCTACGCGCAACAATAGCGTCGCGACCGCGGGGCAGGAGCACGACCTGGCCGCCGCCGCATTCCATAATGCCACCAACGACACGCACAACGCTGAGGTATTCACCGTCGCATCATTCTTGCCAGAACCCCCCGCTGACTGCTACCCCAGGCTCTGCGCATCCTCGCCCTGCTCGAGGTGCACCACCGCAAGCTCGCCGGCCTAATCAAAGAAGCTCCGCCCAAGCAGAAGAAGACAGCCGCTGCGACAAAGCAACCTACCGACTCATCGGTCTCTTCCCTGCCCAAGTCCTCAACTACCGCGGTCCCACAAACCCCAGCTGCTTCTTCTACAACCCCGCCGACGTCGCGCCGCAGACTGCCCCAGTCATCCATAGCCACCAACCTGGCCGAGAAGCGCGGCATCCCCAGCGTAAAGAGAGCCACCGCCGCCCCTGCTGTCAGCAACTCAAATGCTACGGCCGCTCGCCATGACCAGCCCTCCACGCCTGTCCGTGACCTCCTCGCCCAGCACTCGCGCAAAGGAGATTCCCCAACCGCAAACGACTCGCTCAAGCACCCCGCCCCAGCCTCGCCCTCACCACAGCGTTCCTCGCCTCCGCCAGACGACAACTTCCGCCGCTTCTACAACGCCTTTGGCGGCATTATATCCGCCATCAGCGCGCCCCTTGCCTTTACATCCTTACCCCTCAACCCCTCAGCATCCACCCCCGAGCCAGAGCCACCCAGAGAACAGGACAGAGCTGCAAGGACAAAGTCTAGAAACCACTCGCCTGAAGCTTCGAGGACTGTTACTTCTTCGGTTCCCGATCTTGCCGCCCTCATCAGTAAACCTGCGTTGCGTGCCTTGAGGGAAGACGGTGCGCCTCCGCTTGGTCCCAACGAGAGCTTCTACCTGGTCCCTACCACCGGCGGCACAGTCACCTACGCTAGTGTCCTACGCGACCCCAACGCACCCAACCTTTCCGCAAACAACCAGTACAATACACTCGACGATGGCTCCGGATCTCTGAGGGGCAGCTCCCATGAAGAGTTTGTCGATGCACGCGAGAATGTTGGCCCTCCCTCACCCACCAGAACACGTCGTCCGCTCTCTCGTGGGAACCCAGGCACGAGCGTCACCACTCAGCTCAACATACCTGCGGGTAGAGGGTCGCGCCACAAGACTATGGAAGAGCTCGCCCTCGAAAACGACACGCTCAAGTCCGTGATCGACAAGCAGGCCAAGCGCATCCAAATGTGGGAGCTCAGCTCGCAAAACTCCTTCAACGCTCTCGCTCAGTCATTCCGCGTTCGAGGCTCTGGACGCGGCAACAGTGATCCCAGCTCCCTTGCCGCCCACGGCGTGCACCCACACCCGTCCCTCCCGTCACCTCCCATCCCAGGCCATGCGCAACAGCAGCACCCACCGCCGGCGCCCACCTCACCAGGCTCCGCTCCACCACCCGACGCCGAAGCCCTCAAGCGCATAGCTGATCTCGAAGCCCTGCTCGCCTCTCAAAACGCAAAGATCGACGACCTCATGGCCAACAACGACAAGCTGGCCAAGCAGCACGAGAGAGATGCACAGGTCCTCGGCCGGTACCGCGAGCAGTGGGAGAAGCTCAAGGCGGGCGCCAGGAAAAAGGAACAGGAGAGGCGTGATAAGAGAGTCTTGGTACCGGACGGTAAGCCCACGGATTCTTTGGCAACCGAGCCCGAGGCTAGCGATCAAACTGCTCAGCCAGACGGACTGGAACAACAGCAACAGCAACAGCAGAAACAATCACAGCAACAAGAACAAGATGATGATATGCAGGAAGAACCGGGCTTTGGAAAGGCTTAGATAATACCCCCTTTTTTTCCAAATACTATTCTTGAATGAAACAAACATACCAATCAAGCACTTGCTTGCTTGCTTGCTTGCAGCTATACTGCCAGGAACAATCACACTCTCAAGCTATGCACGATTGCTTTCAAATCATCTTATATATTTATTACTAGACAACCGAAACACTTTGCAGCTACTGTCCGCCGCCAATTTGGTCCCTGCAAATCCTCCCGCAAAACGCCAAACATTTCCTAATCCAGCGATAAAACTTCTCAAAATAGACAGAAAAAGACTACTTCTGACTCTCTTTCACACCCGCACTGCAACAGGCTCTAAACAAGCAGCTCGCTTAAGCAGCAGAAGCAATAGGCTTCTGCGTAATGGGCTGGTAAGGAGGCGCAACAGGTCCACCAACATTGACCTGCTGGCTGTCCATACCCGCAGCGTGGCCCTCAAAGTCGGGCGCATCAGGGTGCACACCAACACGCTCCTTGGCCAGCAAGTCCACCAAAAGCGGGCTGGGCTTGTTGCTCCTCTGCGAGAAGTTGGCCTGTTGATCCTTGTACTGCTGCACATTCTCAATGTACTTGTCAAACAGATAGGCAGAGTCCAGAGGTCCACCCTTTGCTTCGGGGTGGAACTGCGCGCTGAAAATGGGGCGCGAGCTGTGGATCAGACCCTCGTTCGACTGGTCGTTGAGGTTGGTGAAGTACTCCTTCCATTCGCTCGTCAACGTAGTCGGGTCAACGGCATATCCGTGGTTCTGCGAGGTAATGTGGCACTTGCCGGTGGTGAGGTCGAGAGCCGGGATGTTGTGAGCGCGGTTGCCGTACTTGAGCTTGATCGTCTTAGCACCGGCAGCAAGGGCAATCAGCTGGTGACCCATGCAGATGCCCATAACTGGGAGCTGCGAGGTCTCAAAGAGCTTGCGGAGGTTGTGGACTGTGGTTGTGCAGTGGGTTGGGTCACCAGGGCCGTTCGAGATGAAGACACCGTCAAAGTGGTGGGCGACCTTGTGGAT